TTTCTTTCTCCACCCTTCCCTTCCCCTCCTGTCCCCCTCCCTTCCTTCTTTTTCTTTCTTTATTTCTTTCTCTCTCTCTCTTTCCTCCCTCCCTCCCTCTTTTCTTTCTTTCTTTCTTTCTTTCTTTCTTTCTTTCTTTCTTTCTTTCTTTCTTTCTTTCTTTCTCTTGCTTTTTCTCCTTCCTTCCTCCCCTCCTCCTCCCTCCCTTCCTTCCTTCCTTCACCCATCCTCCCCCTGCAAAAGCGAAAGCAACCCTTCCCTTCCCTTCCCTTCCCGGCGGGGGCGCTGCGGAGCCAGGCGGGGGAGGGCTTATAAGGGCTCCCAGCGGGCCGGCCTGGCCAGTCGCCTCCGGACCGCCTGGACGCCGCTTCTTCCTCCCGCGTCTCCTCCTCCTCCTCCTCCTCCTCCTCCTGCCGGGATGCTGGCGCTGCGCTCGGCCGGACGCCTCTCGCCGCTCTTGCGGGCGCAGGGAGGGCCGGGCACCGCCGCCTCCCGGGCTGGCAGCGCTTGCCGGGCTTGCAGCAGCAGCAGCAGCGGCGGCGCCGGGCGGAACCCGCGGGTCTTCCTGGAGGTGGGCGCCGACAACCAGCCGCTGGGCCGCCTGGTGCTGGAGGTAAGGCGGGCGGGAGCGTCCAGATGCCCTTGGGATGCCCTCCGGGGCCCTCCGGGCTTTGCGCGCCGCCTTGCGGGGGGGGGAGAGGGGGGGTCCTCGGCTTAGTGGCCGACTCGCTTAGCGACCGTTCCAAGGGAGCGACGGCCCTGATAGGGTGGCCAGGTCTGCTTCTCAAAAAATAGCGGACAAGCGGGGGCGGGGGGGGTGTTAAGTAGTAAAAAAAAAAGTAGACTGTACAGCTTTAGATTACGCACCATTTCATCCTAAAGCTTTTGAATAAAAAAAAATTGTCCACTATTTTGTGGAAAAAAAAATAGTGGACATTTTTTTTATTCAAAAGCTTTAGGATGAAATGGTACGTTAATCTAAAGCTGTACAGTCTGCTTTTTTTGTGAGCTGTACAGTCTACTTTTGTGAAAAAAAAAATAGTGAATATAATGTGAAAAAAGCGGACTGTCCGCTCAAATAGTGGACACCTGGCAACCCTACTTGAAGAAAGGGGAAAAAAACAAAACCTGACTTAAGAGGAGAAATGGGAACCCTAAAGCAGTGAGATTGCATTTCCCCTGCGCCGAAATTAGGAGTAATCTTTAATCGAGCAGAAATTAATTAATGGGTTTAAAAGTCAAGCCGCCTAAAGGCCAGGATGTGATGCTCTGATAACGTGGGAATCGGGGAAGAGAGAGAGAAGGGCACAAAATGGTTGTTGGCTCTGTTGTACAAATAGTCCTCGGCTTGCAACGGTTCACTTAGTGACGGTTCAGAGTTACAACGGCACTCAAAAAAAGGGACTTGGAACTGTTTTTCACACTTACGACCGTTGCAGCATCCCCAACGGTCTTGTGACTTCCGTTCGGAGGCTTGGCAACTGACTCGCCTTTATGACGGCTGCCGCAGTGTCCCGGGGCTCACGCGATTCCCCCCTTTGGGTGACCTTCTGACAAGCCAAATTCAAGGGGGGGAAAGCCGGATTCGCTTAACGACCGGGTGACTCGCTTCACGGCTGCAGTGAGTTCCCTTAACAATCGTGGCAGGAAAGCTGGTGAAATAAGGCAGAACTCGCTCGGCGAACGTCTCGCTTAGCAGACAGGAAAATTCGGGGCTGAGTTTGTGGTCGTAAGTTCGGGGTGACCTGTATTCCCACCTCCCCAGTTCAGCACGAAGCATCCTCGGCTTTTCTGGCTGCCTCCGGGCTATCATAGTTTGCTGGAGACGGTGGCTCTCTACGCGCCTTGCTTTTGATCGTGTTTGCGCCCACTTTTTGCTCTGAAATTGCAGGCTGCTGACTGTAAATTGGGTTTTGTTTTGGGTTTTTTTTTGTCTTTTGACAGCCGTCCTTGGGGTAGATTGGGCCAAGGGGAGAACTGTACCACGGGGGGGGGGGGTGTTGAGCCTTTGCTGAGGCACTTGACCACTAGGCCATGCTGTCAACGGGCTTGCCTATAAAGGAGAATATTTGTAGCTCAGGGTTGATGTGAGGGGGTCCTTGGTGCTCTCTGAGCTTGTTTGGTTTTTTTTGCAGACGTTTCATGACCCAACTAGGTAACTTCATCAGTGCCAGAAGGGAGGGGGGCTTGCGGAGAGGAGAAGGAGAAGGAGGAGAAGAGAAAGAAAGAAAGAGAAAAAAAGGGAAGGAAGGAAGAAGGGAAGGAAGGAAGGAAGGAAGGAAGGAAAGAAAGAAAGAAAGAAAGAAAGAAAGAAAGAAAGAAAGAAAGAAAGAAAGAAAGAAAGAGAAAGAAAGAAATGAAGGGCTGTGGGGTCCTTGGTTCTCTCTGAGCTTGTTGTTTTCTTGCAGACGTTTCATTGCCCAACTAGGTAACATCATCAGTGGTGGAAGGGAGTGGGGTTTATGGAGGAGAGGAGGAGGAGGAGGAGGAGGAGGAGGAGGAGGAGGACGATGACGACTGTGGGGTCCTTGGTGTTCTCTGAGCTTGGTTGTTTTCTTGCGGTTAAAAGTACTGGGTTGATCCATTGTAGTAGTCAGGATCTTCTCTCACCCCAAATACCTCCTCCTCCTGACACCCCAGGACCCGCGAGAGACTCGAACGAACAAAAGAGCGCCTGCAAAGTACTGGGTTGACCCATTGTAGTAGTCACGATCTTCCCTCCCTCCCTCCTCCTCCTCCTCCTGTTACTGACAGGAACCACGAGTTTAAGCTTGCTTGTTTTCTTGCGGACGTTTCATGACCCAACTGGATAACGTCATCAGTGCTAGCCAAACATCTGCAAGAAAACAAGCAAGCTCAGAGAGCACCCAGGACCCCACAGTCCTCCTCTTCCTCCTCTTCCTCCTTCTCCATAAAGACCACTCTCTTCCAGCACTGATGACAGCCAGCCACGCTGGCTCAGGAATTCTGGGAGTTGAAGTCCACAGAGTCATATAAGAACCAAGGTTTCCCCCCCACCCCCACCCCTGCTTTAAGGAATGGAATTGTGTCCAGGCTTTTTCCTTTTTCTCTTTCCTCAACTTAAGATTTGTAACTGGTTGGGGCTGCCCTTCTCTCTATGTGGTTGGCAAAATAGTTTAATGTTAAATATTAAAATAGTCTGCCAGTTATTCTCTTCCGTATGTGTTTTGCCAGTTGGCGGCAGTCAGGCTATTTGGTCCCTGTTCTCTCTCCATCCCATAATACCAGCACTAAGCAGGCCTAGAAATAAGAGATTTCACAAATCTCCATGCTGAACAAAGTTCACTACGGTACTTCAGAGGGCAAAATACACCCGAAAAAGAAGTCAACAGCTCAATTTCAGAGAGAATTTACTCCATTCTTATTTTATTTCTGGATTAAGCTGATCCGTTTTAATTTTTTAATTCTTCTTCTGATTCTTAAAGAGTTTTACTATCATTTTTGACTTCAATCCTACCACTTGTTGGAGTCACATCTTGTTGCTTATTACATTTTCCCAACAAAACAGCACAACTCTTGAGTTTGAGGTAAGGCATTCCATCCTTGAAGAGGAATTAGGATTTTTTCCCCCCAACTACAGGATATATAATAAAGGTAAAATCAAAGCTACCTGTGGGACATTAAGGGTGGAGTCGTAATCCCATTTCTTTATTAAATGCCCCATCCTGTTTAGAGGGAATTTAGGACTCCCTAGTTGTTACTTATATGTAAGGGTGTAGGTCGATACATATGTTGTGTATGGTATGTTTTAAATGTGTGTTATGTATGTTTACACTTTGAGAGGAAGCAACTAAATTTCAATTTTTAATGTGTGCCAGGAAAAAAATGACAATAAAGGTTATCTAATCTAATCTAATCTTCCTGCATTAATCCATAAAATGTAAACAGTTACAAAGAGAGGCCAACATTCCAGAATAAAGGCTACGTTTTGATCCGATCTGGCCCTGAAATGTTCATTTGCCCAAGGAAAATGCAAGGAAGTTGTCAGAGTGATGCTACTTCTATTGGGCAAAACACCTTTTAAAATTGTGTGCAGATATGGATAGGCTCACAATGGAAATGAAGGACAAGACAGAGTCAGATTATTTTGAAATCTTGGACAAATTTTATTATTGGTGTGAATCAAGGAGGACTGTTCGGGTTATAAGCTAGTGTTAAGATAGAAACATATATAATTGTAGGTTAGTATATAGAGACACAAATTAGATATTGTATTGATAGAAAAATATTTATGTACGTACAGTATATATAGAGATCAAGAATTATATGTATGAAGAGGAACAAATTTTTAGAAATATTTATACTGGAATGTTGCGTTATGTCCATCTTTGTTTTAATTGTATTATAAATAAAAAACTTTTTTAAAAAAATATGTATTGTACAAAGCACTTCTTTAGTGATATATATATTCAGATTAAATTTCAGCCCTATGCTGAATTCCGTTGAATTATTTCAACTATTCTCTTCTATACCTTGTTTTTGGAGATAGAATAGAATAGAATAGAGCTGGAAGGGACCTTGGAGATCTTCTAGTCCAGCCCCCTGCTCAAGCAGGAGAACCTATATCGTCTCAGACGGGTGGATGCCCAGTTGGTTTTATCTTTGGAATACACCCTCCAATATACCCTATGGATTGTGCTTGCTATCTTTATCTCCCTGGCCGTTCTAGTCATAGTCCATCTTGTCCAGATCTTTCCCATGACTAGATCCCTCTTCTTTACAGAGGCATTGGCAGGAATAAAAAGCCAACGTTGTGTGGTTGCAGTGCCAGCCTTGCCCCTTTTGTATGTGCATGTAGTGGATCCGTGTACAAAACAAGCGCTAGTTGTGTGCCAGCCATGACGTGATGGTGACCCGGTCCCTAGTCAACACCTCCTTGCTGTGGCCACCTGGACTTGTTATCTCTTTGGGCTAATTGGCCAGCAAAATAAAATTAGTTCTTCCAACTAAATCAGGGGTCTTCAAACTTGGCCCTTTGATGACTTGTGGACTTCAACTCCCAGAATTCCTCAGCCAGCATGGCTGGCAGAGGAATTCTGGGAGTTGAAGTCCACAAGCAGGGGTCTTCAAGCTTGGCCCTTTGATGACTTGTGGACTTCAAATCCCAGAATTCCTCAGCCAGGCACGATGGCTGAGGAATTCTGGGAGTTGAAGTCCACAAGTCATCAAAGGGCCAAGTTTGAAGACTCCAGAACTAAATGCATTTCTTATTCAACTGATTTAAAGGAAGCTTGAAAAGCCCCTTTGAAATTTTTCAAAAATTTTGAAATATCTTTTATTTTATTTTTTTATTTTATTTATTTTATTTTATTTTTTTATTTTATTTATTTTATTTTATTTTATTTTATTTTATTTTATTTTATTTTATTTTATTTTATTATTTTATTTTATTTTATTTTATTTTATTTTATTTTATTTTATATATCCTCAATTCCTGATCCCTTCCATCCCATAGACTGTCAAATAGCTTCTCTTCTGGGAGGATTTTAAATATTTCATTTAGTTACCTGCGTGTATACTCAGACATATCAAGATTATTCTTAGACACTTTAAAATATTCTTGGAATTTTTTCCCCCCTCACCTTCGGTGGCATGATTCTGAATGTTTGCCACCTCGTGTGTAAGGCAATTTTCTGGGATGTTCCTTCCCTGACTCATTTGCTGATGTAATGAATTCACATGTAAATACTTGCAGGATCACACCCATGTCTCAAGTGTGTTGTTATGCCTTATGTCACCAACCCACCAGGTGACACATTCAAATGGCTGTGAATAACCATTTAGAAAAATGTCACATGCTATTTATTAAGCTGAGCAAGGCTGTGTAACGGCTGTGGTCAATAAATGTTTGCATTAGAGATTGGAATGTCTCAGCCAAAACTTTGAGCTTTTAGATGTTTTTGTAGGCCCATTGCCAACTCTTTCCTTCAGTCCTTGGGTTACACAAAATAAATCTACAATATTTGTAGAGGTTTGCTTTGGAGGCTATTTTAACTAAGACAGATGAGCTATTATTTTTTATGAATGAGAATGTCACCATGCACACTGCAGAATCTTTGCCTCTGATGTTTGGAAATGAAAGCTTTATCGCCGTTGTCTTCAGTTTGAGGTTGTCCTCTGGACCAGAGGACCCCAACCTTTGGGGCACCACGGACCGGTTCCGTGGAGAGAGGTTTTTCCACGGACCGGAGGGGGCGTGGTTTTGTGTGTTGTCTGCATCCCGCGGATGGGGCTTTGCTTGTTTGTGCAGACCGGTTGCTGGCATGCCACGGCCCGGTACCGGTCCACGGACCCGGGATTGGGGACCCCTGCACTGGACGACACATTTCCCAAAATCGTTGGATGTTAGAAATGTTTGGGGGAAGTTTGTCCTATGCATTTCAAAAATTCCCCATAAATATAGGTTAGCATGTAATAGGCGAAATCACACAATACAGGTAAGTCCTTGACGTACAACCACAACGGAGCCCAAATTTTCAGTTGTTAAGTGAGAGATTTGTTAAAAATTAAATGTTAAGTGAATCAGGCTTCCCCCGTTGACTTTGCTTGTCAGAAGGTTGTGAAAGGAGATCACGTGACCTTGGGACACCGCAACGGTCATAAGTATGAATCACTTGCCAAGCGTCTAAATTTGGATCACGTGACGACCACGGGGGAGGCTGCCACGGCCGTAAGTGTGAAAAACGGTCCTAAGTCGCTTTTTTCAGTGCCGTCGTGACTTTGAACGGTCACTAAATGAACTGTTGCAAGTCAAGGACTAGTTGTACATTGTGTTAGGGCTTTAAATACACAATACATCATGAATCTTTAGGTATACAGGTGGGCCTCAACATAGGACGACGATTGAGACCGAACCTCCGTTGTAAAGCAAGGTGGTTATTAAGCGAGCCACTCCTCGTTTTACGACCTTTTCCCCCACGGTTGTCAAGCAAATCTGGCAACGGTCGTAAAAAACAATGCTGGCGATCAAGTGTCCGAATTTTGATCACATGATCACAGGGGATGTCACAATGGTTGTTAAAGTGTGAGGATCGGTCATAAGTCGCTTTTTTCCAGCGCCCTTGTAACTTTGAACAGTCACTAAACAAACTGTTGCAAATTGAGGACTAGCTGCAAACTACAAATGCAATATGTAAACGGAGCAGCTGGAAGGAAGAACGTGTTTGTGCAAATCTTAAAAAAAACCAATAGCTAAGATAGACTATGATTCTGTAGGTATTATTGGTTCGTAAAATTATAATTCAACCGGTTTTTCTCTTTTCTCTCCAGGAGCAAATACAGCCAAACTAATAATTACTGAATTAATGTGTTTTATATTTCAGACAAAATAAAGTTGCTGTGTTTTTATATTTCAGAGTCTACATTTTTAGCTGTCTCCCTGGCGTAGGACTTTCTTAGAAAGCGTAGTCTTGAAACCGATGGTTTAAAACTGTTTCGTTTAAAGGCTGGGGGGAGGGAGTTAGAATTTGACCTGTAATTTTAGAGTATTTTCAGGACTCGAATTCATTCTGCAATCTCCTACTAAACTGTTAAGACTCTGTGTGGTTTACTTCTGAAATACGGGCCTATATTTCATGAGGCTAATGTGTGTTTTTATACTCTCCTTTTTCTTCGGATAGCTAAAAGCTGATGTGGTGCCAAAGACAGCAGGTAAGACATTCCTTAAATTATGTTTTTAAGGTTTGCTCGGAGATCATCTCAGCAAGAAAATGAAATGCTTTTAAATAATGAATGAATATTTTCTTCGGGCACAAACGGCAGAAACAAAATTCCTTTTGGTTCCTCTCCCTTACTTGTAGTATGTGGTTGTTCTCCTTGGTTTAGGAGGCTCTGATTCCGCGCTCTAGTTAAAATTTTAAGGATGCTTAAATAAGCATAGGTAATTGTTTATTGATCCTGTACCCAAAGACTGGAAGCCCAATAGGGACTTTTTGCAGAGAGGAGAACAGACTGAATTGAGGATTTATAGATCTAGGGATTAAAAAGATTTTTTTTTTTAAGAGAGGGAAAAGAACAAGTTAGCAAAGAGCAAATTTGGGGGGTGTTTTCTTTCCTTTTTTATACTTTGTCTTGAAAAATTCTGGGTGGATGGATAGATGATGGATGATAGATGGACAGATGGATCATTAGACAGACGGATGGATGGTGGATGATAGAAGATAGTAGATTGATAGATGGGTGATTGATAGATGATTGATTGATAGAGATAGATAGACAGACAGACAGATTGATAGATAATAGGTAGATAAATAATGATAGATAATGATAGAGATAATAGATAAATAGATAAATAGATGATACATAATGATAATGATAGATAATGATAGAAGATGATAGATAGATAATAGATGATAGATAATATAGATAGATAGATAATGATAGATGATAATGATAGAGATAATGATAGATAGATAGATAGATAGATAGATAGATAGATAGATAGATAGATAGATGATAGATGATGACAGATGATAGAGATAGATAGATAGATAATGATAGAGATGATAGATAAATAGGTAATGATAGATAGATAGATAGATAGATAGATAGATAGATAGATAGATAGATAGATAGATAGATAGATAGATAGATAGATAGATAGTCTATCCAACTAGATAGGGAGGGAGGGAGGGAGGGAGAGAGATGATAGACAGACAGACAGACAGATAGTTGGATAGAAAGGTAGATGGATGGATAGGTAGGTAGGTAGGTAGATAGGTAGGTAGATAGATAGGTAGATAGATAGATAGATAGATAGATAGATAGATAGATAGATAGATAGATAGATAGATAGATAGATAGATAACAATAGAGATGGTAGATCTAGATCAGTGTTTCTCAACCTTGACAATTTTAAGGCATGTGGACTTCAACTCCCAGAATTCCACAGCCAGCATTGCTGGCTGTGGAATTCTGGGAGTTGAAGTCCACATGCCTTAAAATTGTCAAGGTTGAGAAACACTGATCTAGATAGACAGACTGACTGATTGATTCCATAGACAGATAATCCTATACCCAGGACTTCTGCTTTTTGATGGTCATGTTGGACCCGTGCAGCCACCTGAGATGTACAACCCAAAGTGCCTGGGGCTGTCAACCCTAGACGGCCTGTGGTAATATTAAAAAGTCCCCAAAGTAAAAAAAGCGAAGAAGGAGGGCGGAGACGGAGAAACCAGGAAGCGACAGAGGAAGCCGTGGGGTTTTCTTGCCGTTTACGGAGAAGACTAAAACCTCGCTCCACATTTTGACCTGGTTGTTTTGGATTGTAGCTCGTCGTCATCCAGAGCAGAACATTTCCTGGTCTAGTGCCACAGAACATGCAGATGCTCTTGCTGGCGTGAACCTGCTGTGAACCAAGTTCTGAATGTGTGAACGACAGGTGGTTAAAAAGTGTAATATGCCCCATGGATTTCAGATAGGCCAGTGCTTAGCAACTCAGAAGAGCAGGCAGAAGAGCATAAAAAAGACTGTTAACCCCATATCTGTGGCTCTGTATAGGTTCATGTGTGTGCGTGCTGGGGCAGAATAGATTACTGTGTTTAACTTATTCTAAATATTGCTTTAGTACCGCACAGGGGGTCCTTGTTTAGTGACCGCCATTGGGAAGCGCTTGCTAAGGGAATGCTCACTGCGTTTATGATCTGCCTTTTCAGTTTTCCTTTGCTTTACAGCCCTGCAAAGGTTGTGAAACATGAGGACTGGTTTTTAAATCCCTGCTGTAACTGTGAATGGTCCTTAAACAAAGCGGTCACTAAACAAGGACTACCTGTATATTTTGTTTGTCGTGGCTGCTGCAGCCCTTGCAATGCTTTATCGCATCATGGAGGTCTCTTTCCTCAGTAATGTTGCTTATTATTTCCCCCCCCCCCCATTAGAAAACTTCAGAGCCTTATGCACGGGAGAAAAGGGATTTGGCTACAGAGGATCCACCTTCCATCGAGTGATACCTTCCTTCATGTGCCAGGTAATATAACCCCAAATGTCCATTTTGCGAAGTTACCGTGAAAAAGACAAGTGACTGTGTGTAATAGGGCGAAAGGCACCTTAACGGCTCTGGGGTGCCGTGCCTGGATTGTGCAGGGGTGAAAGAGGTATCGACCCATTCGTTGGGCGAATTAGGAAGTCGCAAAACCCAGTCCCAGAACTTTTAGCCATTAAATAGAAAGGATTATATGGAAGCAAAGTTCTGTAAGTTGCATGGACATATTGTCTGGTATCTTGGTCCGTGCTACTTGCCCAATATTTTAAGCAACGTTTCATTCGTCTGTTCACCAGAAGCAGCCTGGAATTAAGGAGAAACTTCCTAACAGTGAGGACAGTTAACCAGTGGAACAGCTTGCCACCAGAAGTTGTGGGTGCTTCATCACTGGAGGTTGAGACTAGACAGACACTTGCCTGAGATGATATAGGTTCTCCTGCTTAAGCGGGGGGCTGGACTAGAAGACCTCCACGGTCCCTTCTAACTGATATTCAGAACGGTATAGGGACTCCTGCTTGAGCAGGGGGGGCTGGACTAGAAGACCTCCGAGGTCCCTTCCAGCTCTAGTCTGATTGATTGATTGCTGGGATTGCTATTGTTTAATATATGTGTGTGTGATTTGACACAAAACATGATTTTTTTTTCTCCTCCCAGGCTGGTGACTTTACTAATCACAACGGCACGGGAGGAAAATCTATATATGGCAGTCGCTTTCCGGATGAAAATTTCATTCTTAAACATGTTGGACCTGGTAAGCAAGTTTTCCCGTCCGTCATTCTGGACGTCAGCATGCGATTGTTATAAAACTGAAGTCTCAGAATTGATTTCATGGTTTAGGCAGCCACTTCTGAGACCAGATATAAAAAGAAGGGGAGTGGCAGAGACCTGGGGGCGGAGTCAAAAGAGGAATCAACCTAGAATCCCTATGTAGCCACAAGCACACTGAATCCAACCTCCCTGGAAATCCATTGACCCTTATCCAACTCCAATCAAATGTTAACTCTAGGTTTAAAAGATCCTTGTGCATAAACATTATAAGCAATACATTAATTGAAGAGGACCTTCACAATGTGGACCTGATCTTTCATGCCCGACAACAACTTTTAATAATGGCGAATGTTCAAAACCGATTCAGATATCACTTTAAGATAAGTGAAAACCAACGCTAAAGTCTGCTATTAGAATAGGATAGGATAGGATAGGATAGGATAGAATAGAATGCAGAGTAGAGTAGAGTAGAGTAGAGTAGAGTAGAGTAGAATAGAATAGAATAGAATAGAATAGAATAGAATAGAATAGAATGTAGAGTAGAATAGAATAGAATAGAATAGAATAGAAAATAGAATAGAAAATAGAATAGAAAATAGAATAGAAAACAATGAATAGAATAGAATAAAATGCAGAGTAGAGTAGAATAGAATGGAATGCATAGTAGAGTAGAATAGAGTAGAATAGAATGGAATAGAATAGAATAGGAATAGAATAGAATAGAATAGAAAATAGAATAGAAAATAGAATAGAAAATAGAATAGAAAATAGAATGAATAGAATAGAATAAAATAGAATGCAGAGTAGAATAGAATAGAATAGAATAGAATAGAATGCAGAGTAGAGTAGAATAGAATAGAAAATAGAATACAATAGAATAGAAAATAGAATAGAAAATAGAATGAATAGAATAGAATAGAATAGAATGCAGAGTAGAGTAGAATAGAATAGAAAATAGAATACAATAGAACAGAAAATAGAATAGAATAGAACAGAACAGAACAGAGCTGGAAGGGACCTTGGAGGTCTTCTAGTCCAGCCCCCTGCTCAAGCAGGTTATATTGGTGGTTATATGCAAAAGCAACATTCAGCTTTCTATTTTTCGACTGGTTTGATTTGAAATCCATACGTGTTCTAGATCAAGGCAGAGGTAAAAACGGTCATTAGTCACTCTTTCCGGTGATGTTACAACTCTGGACGGTCATTAAATGAATTGTTTGTAAGTCAAGGACCGCTCATAACTGATCCTCCTTCTGAAGGTCCTCAGAGAAAGGCCACTATCTGATTCTCCCAGCAAATGTTTGTGAGTTTGAGCTCCAACAACAGGCTGCATTGTGACCTCTTGGGGAATTGCATTCCCTAAGCTTGAATACAAGATGCACACACACACAATAAAACCCACCAAAGAAGAGGCTTCATGGGGAAATCTCCCTCCATAAATGGGCTGTTCTCTGCTTTTGTTTAGCCAAGTTAAATTGCTCTCTTGTTTCTTGCAGGTGTCCTCTCAATGGCCAACGCCGGTCCCAATACGAACGGATCTCAGTTCTTCATTTGCACGGCCAAAACCGATTGGTAAGCCTTGAGGAATGCCTAAAATGTAACTCTTAAAATGTTCGTTCTTAAATGTACTCAATTTGATTGATTGACACTTGGAATATCCAGTTTTGGTCACCCCAACACATAAACAGATGTTGAGGTTTTGGAAAGAGTGCAGAGAAGAGCAACAAAGATGATCAGGGGACTGGAGGCTAAAACATATAAGGAACGGTTGCTGGAATTGGGTATGTCTAGTTTAATGAAGAGAAGGATGAGGGGGGACATGATAGCAGTCTTGCAATATCTCAGGGGCTGCCCCAAAGAAGAGGGAGTCAAGCTATTCTCCAAATAGCTTCTGAAGGCAGGACAAGAAGCAACGGATGGAAACTAATCAAGGAGAGATACAACTTGGAAACAAGGAAAAAAATTCCTAACAAACCGTGTTACTAACAACTGTGGCAAGAAAGGAAAAATTCACTTAACCCCTGTCTCACTTACCAACATCAATTTTCAGCTCCATCGTGGTTGTAATTCAAGGACTCCCTGTACAATATACGAGATTAAAATATTAAGGTTAAAACCCTGATAAAATCACCATAACACGGCGCCATAGAATCGTAATGGGATAGCTACTATAATTTGATATCCGTGGAAGCTTAAGTGTCTTAACTGCTGCTCAGCTCAAGTGCCTTCAAATTTTCTAAGGAAACATTCTCCAACTAGTTGATCATTAGCCATTGGTGCTTTCACAATACAGTCTTGAGTTGACCAGGATCTCCTTTCCGTGACGCCAAACACAAAAACAGGAGGATGCCAAAGTAACTAAAACTCTATTCTTCCTACAAACGGTTGGGTACACACGTGCAGCGTAAGAGATAAGCAGTGACCTGGGATGGAAAATTCAGATGAAGCTTGCAAAGCACAGAGGCAGGTGGAGTGTTGCAGACAGAGCGATCTGTTTTTTATGAACTTGGATATTTTTCTGCCAACAAGTTTGAAGAGATGTGTGAAGAAGCAACCCATTAACCAGCTGGAGAGTCTGTATTTCTTGGACAGACATCTATCTATTTCATGGAGCCTAAATATCTCCCAATTGCTTGGTAACCTTGAAATGACTCAAGCTCTGCCTTTGTGTGTGTGTGTGTGTGTGTATGTTGGATCAAGCTACAGGTTTGGGTGGGTGGGAGAGAATCTGAGCCTTTTAATTTCTTTTTTAATTACTCTTGGTGTTCAAGAGAAGCCTACTATCCATCAAGATATCTTTGATGTCTTGATATGCACAAGTATAGTATAGGTGGAATCTTGCTCAATAGTAGTAACTGTGAGAGGGACAATCACTTGAATAAGAGCCAGCCGTGTGCTGCAGCTGCCAAAAAAGCCAACGCAGTGCTAGGCTGCATTAACAGAGGGATAGAATCAAGATCAGGTGAAGTGTTAATACCACTTTACAATGCCTTGGTAAGGTCACATTTGGAATACTACATCCAGTTTTGGTCATCACGATGTAAAAAAGATGCTGAGACTCTAGAAAGAAGGCACAGAAGAGCAACAAAGATGATTAGGGGACTGGAGGCTAAAACATATGAAGAACGGTTGCTGGAATTGGGTATGTCTACTCTAATGAAGAGAAGGACGAGGGGGGACATGATAGCAGCGTTCCAGTATCTCAGGGGCTGCCCCAAAGAAGAGGGAGTCAAGCTATTCTCCAAAGCGCCTGAAGGCAGGACAAGAAGCAACGGATGGAAACTAATCAAGGAGAGAAGCAATCTGGAACTAAGGAGAAATTTCCTGACAGAACAATTAACCCATGGAACAACCTGCCTCCAGAAGTTGTGGGTGCACCATCACTGGAGGTTTTTAAGAAGAGACTGGCCAGTCATTTGTCTGAAATAGTATAGGGTCTTCTGCTTGAGCAGGGGTTGGACTAGAAGATCTTGAAGGTCCCTTCCAGCTATGTTATTCTTCTGTTATTTGTCTATTTTTCTTTCTGTTGCAGGCTGGATGGAAAGCACGTTGTGTTTGGCCATGTCAAGGAAGGAATGGACGTTGTGAAAAAAATCGAAAGCTTTGGATCGAAGAGCGGAAAAACTTCAAAGAAGATCGTCATTACCGACTGTGGCCAGCTGTGATCATTCAACCTTTGACCTCGAAACGTCTTCTCTGAAGAATTAGAGATGCAAAAATAAAATTAAAAAAAAAATCCCTCAAACTATCTACTTAGAAATTTCTCAGAGACCACAGAAGAATCCATGAAGAATTCCACTTTTCCTTTGAACCACCTTGCACTCTTTTAATTTCAATACCCTCGTGTCCCTTTTTCACATCCAAATTAAATTTTCTAGCCAGTACTCGGTAGCAGAAAATGTGAGGATCATAGTTAAGTCGGATTAGCGCTTGCAATACGCTGCTGTTAGAATCTGAATGTAGGAATATGGTACCAGAACAACTAGAATATTTTTATTAACTGGCAAAAAAACAAAAAAAATGAAGGTTACTTTTTTCGGATGCAATGATGAACAACTGAACTCAAGCATCAGGAGAAAAAACTCTTGTGTACCCACTGGTTATATCCACTGTTATAAATATAGCAGGATGGCTGACCTCTATACTCAACGGTGTATTTCTCCTCTTACCATCCTGTCTGAGAACCAACGTTGCATTGCATTTTGGTTTATTTAAAAGTAGATTAAATACAGAGCTGGCAGGCTACTAGGCACAGATTTAAGGTTGTAAGTAGATGGATTACTAATTTGATTATTTGTGCTCTTAAGCTTGCCATGCTCAATTAAAAGAGGAATTCCAAACCCAGAAAGTTCCTTGGTTCGTGAGCCGTGAACTTCACAACAGATTTATCATCTTCCTTTTTTAAAAGAAATTCAGATTACTGTCCTGGATCTCCGCATTCAGTTTCACACCATAGATGTAGCATATGTTTAAGCAGGGGTCTTCAAACTTGGCCCTTTTATGACTTGTGGACCTCAACTCCCAGAATTCCTCGTGCCTGGCTGAGCAATTCTGGAAGTTGAAGTCCACAAGTCATAAAAGGGCCAAGTTTGAAGACCCCTGTGTTTAAGGCTGGTGGGCCACATCATTGTTACCATTTATCTCAGGAATCTAAAAGTAGGGTTCTGAAATCCCCAGAATCCGACAATGATGGAATTGCAGTCAGTGCTGCAAAATAGGAAATAGAAAAAATACTCTTTTATCTGTCCTTGCACAGTGGGGTTTATGATGAACTTGAATTGCTGGCGTAAGCGGCCATCTTGAAATCTGCTGAAGGCAAGCTGAGAATATCCATGCTGTCGACCGTTAAGCGATTGCACATTATCTCTGCGAAGGGAGCAGTTAAAAGCCATATCTGTGTGTCTTCTATCAGATCCTAAAATGTGACGATCCTCCTTATGTGAATTTGTAACTCTGCAGTGGTCATCCCAAAAGGTGCTTTTTCACTGGGCTTTCTTGTTTTTCTTTGAAGACGTTTCGCTTCTCAGCCAAGAAGCTTCTTCAGCTCTGACTGGATGGTGGAGAATGGAAGGACGTCATCGATCTCCAGTCCACAACACAAGTCTTTTCAACACTTCCAAAAAGGCTCCACACCCATTTGCACTACTCAGTAATGACCTTGAGGACACAGGTAAACTTCCAAGAGGCCTCAACGACTCCCCAAAAGAAGGCAAATGACCAGCTGTCTACAAGGAGTATAAATCTTTCCATTCCCCACCATCCAAGTCAGAGCTGAAGAAGCTTCTTGGATGAGAAGCAAAACATTTTCAAAGAAAAACAAGCAAGTCCAGTTACTCTTGAAAAAGCACCTTTGGGACAACCCAGACCTGGATGACGGAGAATGTAATGGTCATTTCACTGAAGTTACAAAATGCAGCAATGTACAGGTATCCTCAACTTACGACCGTCCTCAAAGTTAACAACCATCACGTTATCCCTCCCTCTCGATCCCATGATTGTGATTTCAGCCCTTGGCAACCGGCTCGCTTACAACAGTTGCGGTGTCTTGCAGCCGCACGATCACAGGTGACTTCCGACAGACAACGTCAATGCGGAATCTGGCAAGGGACGTCGCAGTTCACACAATCGTGTGGTGTCTGGCGTCACAACTGTGGCAGGAAAAGGTTACAACATTGCGTGCAGTCCGAGCAAGCCATTGAACGGTGAATTTTTTTGGTCTCAAGTTACAGTCGCGGGTTGAGGACTACCTTTACGCAGAAAAGTGTTACAACAAATACGATACCTTAATTGATGAATTTCTCATTCTTGGAAAGGTGTTTTTGAACCTGTCAGCTCGTGTCCTCTATCAATAATACGTGGCATTTTTGTAACATGTTTGTTTAAGTGTGTAATATATTAAATACCTTTGATAGGAGAAAATGGCTTTCTGTCTTTCTTAGGCTAAAGAGACGCAGTTCCTTGAATCCTGCAAAGAAACGCCAAAGCAATGTCTTGGTTTTATATATGTGTATATCTATATAAATAAAAATGTAAATGTTCGTTTGTTCAAAATCTTAAATCTCCTAAAGTTCTTCACCGATTGCTTTGAAATTTTGACACAACGTTGCATTCGAATACGCGCGTGTTTTTATATACCTATATTATATAGATGTCACACCTGTGACAGGTAAAAACATGCTTTTTTTGAAAAACCGCCATCTGGATGTAAAAGCAACACACGCTTTTACCAGACTGAGCCACAGCAACGCGTGGCTGGGTACAGCTGGTATATATATATATTTGAAGCTTCCGTCTTTTTTCAAATTACCATTTTTATTAGACAAAAATACACAAAGAAATAGTAGGAAAGAAAAGGGAAGGAAAGGAGAAGTGTGGAAAAGAAAAAAACATGAGTTTTTTTGAGTTCCGACTCCCTCCGATGCAGTAGAATAAAACAGTAACCTCAAATTTTTTTTTAACTTTTATAAACTAGGCATTTCTACAACAACAAATCTATCTTAAAAACCCAAAACCAAAGTTTCATTTTTCTTTCCCCGACTTCAAGCAACTTCTTGTTAAGATGATTTAATTTTGTGAGCCTAGGGCCCAGTTCTCAAAAGAACTTTCTTACTCTCCCTTTACTTTCAGGATCGGACGTTTCCTTTCCACAGTTGTACACTTTCCAAATATATTATAGCTGTAATTATCATAATAGCTACACAACTTGGTTTAAAACAGGGGTCTTCAAACTTGGCCCTTTTGGGACTTGTGGGCTTAGAAACCGTTTTGACAGCATCAGAACTTGCAAGTTGCTCGTTTTAGCTATTAATTTTGCTTTCTCGGAAGAATCATGATGCTTATTGTTAAGTTTTACTAAAGAAGTAAATGTGCACACTGATCTCCAATGAAGGTGTGACTCTGTGACATTTTTCTGGTCTGGTGTTTTTCAACCTTTTAAGGGGTGTGGACTTGGACGGCCTGGGGAATTCTGGGAGTTGAAGTCCACACAAGTTTAAGGTTGCTAAGGTTGAGAAAGGCTTCTCTAGGCTAACTGTTCCATACACTAAAGCAATTAGGAGCCAACACTAAAACCTGTTAATCAGAAAAGATGCAATAAGCTCCTTTCATTAACAACATTGTATGTATGTATGTATGTATATTTTCTCTCTACCTCTCAATGTACTGTATATATATATCTGTCTGTCTCTCTCCATCTCTATATATCTCTATAGCTATCTGTCTGTGTCTGTCTATCTATCTATCTATCTATCTATCTATCTATCTATCTATCTATCT